TTTGCTATCTTACCCTCTTCTAGACGTCTTCTCCTTTCTATACAGTAATTAGTTCCTGGACGTACTAACCAGGTGGTGGCAGCGCTAATGACCTAATTAACAAGGGGTTAATTAAGTCGATCACTACACCTGGACTCGGCAATTCCGTCTTTGGCAATTGGCGGCTAAACGGTTGTCCCAATTAGCCAATGAGCATTAGACACACGGCACAGCGACTGAATACGTGGAGTGCGACAACGATTTGGTCACGAGCGACGTTGTAGTGACCAGTAAGGCTAGATTATAGTGTCAGACTTTGACACTTACACTATTCACTGGTTAATCTACATTTACTGAGTTATGCCGACGGAGCGTGCCGAGCGGTAAGCAGTCTCCGAGGGCACGGTGGGTATGGGATAAATATCGTTCATGGAATTTGCGTACATCAATATATATCGAACCCTTTTGGTTCCCTAATATTACGTTATGTCCACAACGGGGTCAACTGAACTGCGAAAACTTAACACTCCCCGTGTGGAAAATCGGAAAGGGAGCCTGGGCACAACTCCTCGCTAAAAAAAAACATTGCTACAAAGAGAAACAAATAAACACATAAAACTAATATTTAATAAAAGAGCTTGGATATATATACATAAGTGATAAAAATATAGCAAAGCCAGCATATGCTACTGGTGCACACATAACTTCTCTTACAAACAGGGTGTGCCTCGAATCCTCCGTCCGTCACAGTACAAGGAACAAGGCTTGACTACGGCCTCTCTCTATGCCTGCAGCTAGGGTTATCCTAAGCAAGCAGTCTTCCGCAAAGGATCCCTGGCTTACTGCTAGAATAACCCCTGGTTTTAGCCAATTAACCCGTGGATTGGGAGAGCGAGAGAGTAGCTGTAGCCCGGGCCGTGCGAGCGTGAACAAGCACTTATGAGACTGAGGTTCTGGAGGTTTATAATAAAATCAAATCAAAATATCTCTCCGTGTACAACTAAGGGCACTAATAACGAGATATAAAAACGAAACAAAGTATTTACATTCATATTATTAAAAGCATAAAATAAATCGTCGTTGTAACGTCCAAGGGGGTGGGGAGGTTGTCTATGGTGGTGGTCCCTGGTGGTGACAAGTGAAGAGTCCAGCATCCAGCCCTGCCACGAATTGCTCGGGACCCCCCTTGAGGATCGCGTTTTCTTGTGGTTCACTGCAACGTCGCGTCAACGAAAGACGACGATCATTGCGCGATGACGACACAGATGAACAATTCTTTACTTGAGCAACTCGTGTCATCTTCCCGTCAGACTGACTTGATGTCTTATTTCATTCGCACAGACAGTTGAACAGTCATGGATTTTTGACTGAAGTGTCAAATTATCGCTAATGCTCTTGTAAATGTTTTAAAACTGTGTCTTTGAAATGCCATTTCATACATTTCCGTGGTCAATTTCATAATGCTGATTGTTTTTTGAAATTTGTACATACATAAGGATATCTGGTGTTAATGTATTATACTGTATAACTATGACTTTCTGTCGTCCTTGATCCTGTTTTCCCCGTCGGTACGCCTGCGTTGAACCCCAACTTCCTGGACATGGCAACTTCTTGAAATGGACACTTTTGGCTAGGTCCCTTGAGGTGCCTGTTTTGGGAAGTTCCACTGTATATATATATATATATATACATACATATACATATATATATATATATACATATATATATATATACATATATATATATACATATATATATACATATATATATATATACATATATATATATATACATATATATAATGTACATGTGTGTGAATATATATATAAGTAAAACAAATGAACGCCTGTCTTATTATCATTATCATGCGCGGTCTCATGTTATTGCTTGATAGTAATAAGAGGGAGAAGGGAAATCTTTATTTCACTAACGCAGTATTCAAAAGGTGCAAAAATAGAGATACTCTCTCTCTATCTATCTACCAATCTCTCTCTCTGCCCCTCTTTCTATCTATCTATCTACCAATCTCTCTCTCTTTGCCCCTCTTTCTATCTATCTACCAATTTCTCTCTCTCTCTTTCTATCTATCTTCCAATCGGTTTGTCTCTCTCTCCCTCTCTCTGTCTGTCTCTCCCTCTCTCTCTCTCTCTCTCATTATCTCCTTTTTTGTCCCTTTCTATCTACCAATCTCTCTCTCTCGCTCTCTCTCCCTCTCTCTCTCTGCTTCCTTTTCCTGTTTGCTGTATGATACCCTGTTAAAATTAACGCAATTGTGACATTTTCTATCTTTCCTCTCATTAATTTCTTCTTTTGTTTTGAGAAATGAACTACAGTTGCGGCTTTTTTTCATTTTAGTTTTTCTGACTAATAATAAGCTGTAGTTTTTTTATGATTTTTAAGATTATAAGAAACGTTACTCTACTGTATATAAGTTCCTCTAGTTCATCATATATGACTTCTTGCAGCGCATTACTTTAAAATGCTGATATTGTGTCAGGAAACGTGGTCGAATATAGCACAACGCAACTCTATCGCTTGGGCGTGTTAGTCAGTCTCGATTTATATCCCGTGAGACCAAGTTCGTTCTGTCGCTGCTGTGGATGTTGGCTAAGATATGAGAAAATGATCGTGTTTCGTGGGCGTGCTCTTTGGAATTACATCTCTCTTTTGGCATTCATGGTGCATACGTCTCGATGTTCTTATCTGTATGATGGTAAGGATGTTCGTGCAACGTTGTCTGAATGCTGGGCTGGATTGACAGTTTGTCGGGGGCTTGGGGTTTATTATTTTGGGCAAGGTTTTCTGAAATGAATGCCGTTCATTTCCCCGCCATAAAGGTTGACCTGGACTCACCGAGGTTCCCACTACCGATGCGTATCACTAAGAAAAGACAGAATGAGACGTCATTTGAATATATAAGTATAAAAAATAAGTATAACGAGAATGTATAGGACTTATGAACAATAAGAAAATCAAATAGGTTTTTGTATTCTATGTTTATCGTTACCTCACTACCAACGAGCACTATTTAAGAGAATACACAACGATACTGAAGTGTTTGTTTTCAGGATATGCAATACTCCGTTGTGGGAGTGCAGTGTTTCATTGAAGATCACTATGAATGTGTTACGGTTTCTCTGTCAATAATTACGTTTCAACATCACAGGGTAGGAGACTGATCTTCGTAACACAATGCAAAACGTGCATAGTTGATGAAATCTGAATAAAACAACGGAATAACACAGATTATCTATTTGCACGCTTAAATATATACACATACATATCTAATACACATTCCAATACATGTAGTATGATAATTCCTAAATCTACAGACTATTTTCTCATTAACCCACCTTTACAAATTATCGACATTAAAAAAAAAAAATATCTCATTTCTGACACCCTCAAAGGAGGCCTCCATTACCATGAAGACCCCTACTTGATAACAGTGACAGATGGTGATTATAACTAAATGACATGCCATAATATGTCTGTGTACACACAGAGGCAGACACGAAATCTGAAACCTACAGGCTAATGTCATAGCCCTACGATTTTCCGGCAAATTTATAAGCATTTAACATATTTAGATCTTAAAAATCATCCACAACTCGGTGATGAACAAGGCCATTGGGATATTAACCCTGTTGGTAATGTATGCTTTAGGACTGCAAAGCAAAAAATTTTTATAGTTATTCAGCTTCTTGCATTACTATATTCTATCAACCCTATCATCATATATATATATATATATATACATATATACATATATATACATATATATACTCTCCCATTCTTAAGGTTTCATATATGGTTATCCTTATATTTACAATCAAAACTGAAACTTGTTTATTTTTCATGTTGTGTTGTTGCTTTGAAGTAGCACTGAAATGACCTCTCCTAGGCCTAGGCCTATGTAATGGTGACATGGAAAACAAGCTGTTGCCACACAACAGGTCCCCTTTCTTTATACCACTAATGTAATTCAGGGGAAGGCCAAGATCCCATACAGCCTTTCTCAATGACAGTACACTCACTTCTAGTGAAGATAAAATAATATGCAACACCTTGTAGAGTAAAAAAGAGAAAAAAAAAGAAAAAAAAAGGTCATGGTGTGTTCTGTTAGACTGAAATATAATGAGACGGTCCTCAGTTCAACCATGACTGAGTAAACGTTTGGTAAACGATTACTGGAAATTGCAATAATTATAGTCAGTGTATTGATTTATTGATTACAAGCAATCGATTGCTCCCACCACTAATGGTAACCCTGCCCCCGTGCTCCAAAAGCAGCTACGATATGCTTGCTCTTCGACTGCTGGCTCGAGACCGATCTTACGGCGAAAAAATGATATATCGCTTTGTCAAATTAAGGTGTCGGGGAGAAGGGGGTTCCTATCAAAACCAAAATTAAAATAGACTTTCCCCTTACTATTCTGACGGTTGTTCACAGTAAGGAACACCACTATTAAAAAAGAGATAGATTTTTTTTTTTTATTCTGGTGATTATAAAATGTTTTTGTCTATATGCATCTTGCTATATCTAATTGCTAAGTATGATAACGTATTTAATTCCACCTTTTTTTACCTCGATAACCTATGCGATATTTTTTTACTATAAGTGTATCTATTTTCTTTGAAATAATTCAGTAATGACAAGCGTAAAAATAACTAATAAACAGAC